CTATCAGGTAGTCCCAAATTATGTCGCGTGCATCACATGTCACCAGCAACTACACGGCGTAAGCAGACATCCGTGTGTAGTTATCTTGTCTGTGCCCCTCCATCCCTTTCATTGGCACGTGCGTCCCATCAATAGCCCCCACTACCGCAGGTACCCCTTTCACGGCGCGAAACTCCTCGGCCATCTCATCAAGGTCATCGCGGGTGGGGAAGTGAACCCACTTCTGTTTGAAGACTCCCATGAAATGCATCATCCAAACGTCGACGAGCGCATGGCGCAAGATCTTCGACAACCCGAAGAGGTGAGACAGGTCTATGTACGACGGTGCACTTGCCAAGTGCTTGATCGGGACCAGATTTGCCACCTCGTGGGTGATGAAGTACCGATCCACGTAGGGCTGCATGTAGTATTGCATGGCATCGACTATGTAATCCAATATAGCTCGGTTAATCCTGAAAATATCCCTCAACTCCCTGTCGCCCATTCCCTGTAGGTCCTTTAGCAATAGCTGATAACGCCGACGGCGCAAGCTGCCCCTTCTCGCACGCTCGATCGTTTTGTTGGAGCCGTGCGTATTAGCTAGAGATGACACGTCCTCCTCGAGGACGCTGGACTCCGACAAGCCGGTTACTCCTCTAACGACCACGTCCATGAAGATGCTGTAGTAGAACGTGATCCACGCCACTAGGAGTTGCATGAGAAAGGGAACAGCTACGGGCTCTGCCCTGGTAGCAGTGTGAAGCATAGGCAGTGCTGTGCTTGCGGTGAAATGATGTGGTACTTGTACCTGTGAATTGCCTGTGCCTTTGTGTGTGTTATGGTTTCACCAACTCGAGACACATCATTTGCAAGATCCGTTACCGTGCCTCTTGTAGTCTTTCCCGCTATTAGGAAACCAGTTTAGGGTGTCTGCCCAGCGCCGAAACGTTTGGGCTCGAGTTAATTTGGGTCGCCCAATAGAATGCCGCCAAATGTACACCTCTATGTGTCGCACAAGGGTTGCGGTACATCGGTTATTTGTGACGTGAAGATGGGCAAATTTACAGGCGCGACTCGGGATAAGGGGGATTGAGACACAAGTGTCGACACATGAATGTTCCATAAAATCATATCGTTGTATCAAGCTTAAAGCGTGGCTTCGGCTGATGGCCTCAAATCCGTTATCATGCATGAAATTGTAACTCATCATTTGCGTTAAAGCTACTGGCCATGTCCATGGCTACTGTAAGGCGGAGAGCGCAATGTCATCTCAGAGGATTTTGCAGCTTATAGCTGCGGATTTTTTTATGATAATGTGCCTCCTCACTATTAGCAGTTCACATAAGGAGCAGGGCTCTTGCTAGGATTTAGGCCTGTCTGAAGTTCCCCCCCCCCAAAAAATCGTTTTGTCTAACGTTCAGACGGGCAAAAAAAAAAAGTCTGAATTTTTCAGACGAAAGTTGGAGCTTAGTCTGATTCATAAGACAAAATGTTTTCCATGGTCTGTTTGCTGTATTACACTAGTCAGCCATGAAAACGGTATGATTCAGTCTTTACGAAGTACGAAATGAATGCGCGACGTTGACATCTGCTAGCAGACAGTCATAGCAAGTAGGGCGCCTAGGGGGACTGGGGGGGGGGGGGGGGGGGGGGGGGGGGGGGGGAAGTTGGGCTACGAGGGACATGCATGGGTGGGTCCGTGTCTTTCGGGACGGACCAGGGGGGTGGAAGGACTTGAGGGGAAGGGGGCTGGGCTAGGAAAGGTGTAGGGGAGCTAGGCGGGGGAAGGGGGGATGGACTGGGGTTGCGCAGCGAGAGGCTGGGCTGGTAGAGGGGTGACTTGGTGGTGAGGTTGGGTTAGGAGAAGCGCGTGAGGGACGGGACTTAGGGCAGGGGGGACTGAGGGGAAGGTGGGGGTGGGAGGGGGAGGGGGCAGGCCAGTACGGTACTTTCTCGGTATCAGATGAAATTGTACGCGCTTTCTGATTTTTTCAGATGGAATATAACACTTAGTCATTTTTTTCAGACGAAATAAAATCATTCGTCTTGTGGTTCAGATGAAAAAAAAAAAAAAAACTATGGTCTGGAAGATCAGATGAAACAAAGAAATCAGGTCTGATTTTCAGACCATCAGACCGATTTGGTCTGATAACCAGAGCCCTGATAAGGAGTACTTGCAAACTCACTCGGATTTGCGTAAATTGCGCCGTAGCATGCGCGAGATGTACGCGTCAGACGGGGTGATCGAGAATTCAACCGTACTGTAACCATGCGTTTGGTCTCAAAAACGTTTCCGAAACGTTTGCAACCTTTTCAAACCATGTTTTTTGCGATGTGACGCGTGGCGACTTCGATGCGATATTTGAATCGCGATCAACGTCGTCAACCAATCACTCGCGGTTCCTGCTTTCGTAACGGAACCATTTTTGGCAAATAGGCGTCGCATCCACGCCAATTCCCGCTTTCAAGGCGCATTCTGGGTTTTTACATATAAATCATCGTGCGATCCGGACTGACGAACTTCAGGAAAGTCAAAACGATTGACTCATGTAGTGAGTCAGTGATGTCTCTTCTATTATGGAAGCAACAGTTTGAAGTTAATCACATGTTCATCGCATCTTAGAATCTCCTATCGCCTTCACTCTCGCATCCGTGTACGCAGATCCAGCAGAGAAGCTGCCACTTCGGCTCGCCATATCTTGGCAGCTAAACTATCTCCTCAATCGTAGCAACCTCGATTGGTTTTCATAGAAGCGAAAATGGCCTCTTCGGCCTGACACTTGCTAAGACTACTCTCCTCGTGGTAGTCATCGTATCCGTGATTATGTTTTCCTCCGCCGCAGAAAGTCCCCCCAACGAGACAAATTCTGCTAATGGGACTGAAACTGCGGCTGCTTTGCCAGTTCCGGAAGTGCTACTAGATTTGATAACAGCAGCACCACCGTAGTGGCGACGCCGAGGCCAAGCAACTAGACAGGCCAAGGTATTAACGCCACGTGCGGTTATTTCGGCAACTACAGCACCAGCCCCTACTTCGACATGGGACTCACCGTGAAGCTTCCTGGTTCTGACTTTGGCAATATCTGCGGCGCGTGCTATGCCATTTCGTGCATCGACGACACGAAGCGATGCCGCAATGACAAGGCGATCGTGACCGTCCGTGTGGTGGGCGAGTCAGAGACGGGAAACCAACTTGCGATCTCCAAAGCAGCCTGGTCCAAGATCGTGGAGGATTCAGAAGATAAGGCGCCTGTTAACATCACGTACAAGCGCACCAAGTGCGTGCCGACCGTCGGAACGTAGGTTCGCGTTCGTAGCGTATCATCAGCGGAGAAGTTCAACATTCACATCGCGAAAAACCAAAGCCAAAATAGTTGCTTCCCCGCAGCTTCAAAGTTGCTTTTCCGCAACTTTGGTTTCGCAAAAAAAAAGTATAGGTCAAAGGCTTCTGGGTCACGGTTACAGGGAAAGTGGTTTTCCCACAACTTTCCCGCAGCTTTTTAGCAACGTTTCCCGCAACATGGCCGCAACACGCACATCGTCATGGGGGTCGCTTCTACGTCATGTACCTATCAGTGACATTTGCGTCACCATGCGGACACTCCACGGTTACATCTGTGCGTTGCCACATAGCTGCCGATTAGCATACATGAAGTCACTATTCCACGTCAGCATAATATCTACACGTGTAATCACGCTTTATGACAGGTGGATGCCCAACCATAACGAATCGTATCGTGCCGCATGTACGGTCGAGATGGCCACAGTTGTACGCACGTGATTGTCGCGTGGCAACTCCGCTCTGCCAACCGCAGCACGGCCCATGGCCGCTCCGGATACGCCGACAAACTCCAGATCTGACACGCATATGCCTCATCTCTACCGTCCGTCCGATACAAATGTCATCCCTCGATTTGTAGTGGAATCCACCTGTACCTACACACGCCGTCCGTTCGGTGATAGGGTTTTCCAACTAGGACTACTGATACCAATCGCACGTACACACGTAATTGTCGCGGATCTCATGATAACACATCTGTGACCATCTCCATCACACATGTGGCAAATAGCCATTGGACACCGTCGTCGGTCTAAAAAAAGGCCCGTTTCATTGATGAGCGGTTCGGCGGATTGTACGGTTGCCCTCTATCCACGTCGCTAGACTAGCGTGGCATCTAACGGCTCCTATTTAACCCGCCGCATATGTCGCCGCGATTAGCGCCGCAATTGTCGCCGTACTGCGCGGAATGCAGAGAGTTGCGTTTCAACCATCCTCGTGTCCAACATGCGCAAGGTCTCCCCTAGGTGTGCAAGATCCAACATATATGTCACCGATTTATTGCACATATGCACTGAACCAACAACAACCACAGCCGGTCCCCACTAAACCACTACACTAGTCTACGACACACAAGTGGATTAAACACACTATCAGCACTTCACCCATCTGTTTCACTATCCGATGCTCCCGACGCGGAGGACTCATGTTCTTCGTCTTCGGAGGCTGCTTCATCTTCCAGGAGGCATTCCAGGCCGCAAGATGATAGACGGAGCCCATGCCTGCCCCACTTCCATGAGTTCTTCTCCTCGCCGTAGGGCACTTCATTCCGGCATACTGCATCCGCAATGGCATCGAAGGCCAGCTTTTGAATCCTCCGCACAGAAGCGCCGTTCTCGCACGGAGAGATGTGCAGTTTCCCCTTGCGCTTCTCCCAGTTGATAATCGCGTCCGTGATCTGCGAAGGCAGGAGAAGCCCATTTAGAACGGCTAGTTGAACGAAAGTGGCTACAACATATGTTCGCATCGGTGTAAACGTACAAGGTGCTCGAGCCACGATAGGTGGTACAACTTTATAGTTGTTTCTTTGTCCTTCCGCTTCCCTCCGAAAGCCGCGATGGCACATGCCGCGAACGCTCCGGATGCAAATGGCAGTCGGGTCCCCTGCGCACGTGGAATGCAAAATGGGTACAACGATACCACGTACGGAAAAAGGGGAGGGTTCAAAGACATGTCTGGTCCACTATGGCACGACACAGGAGTTGCGGCCATAATTGCTCCGGCCATATGACATGCGAACACGCACCATCGTCTGGGACGGGGACGCAATATCTCTTTCGGGCACGCTCCCCAGTGCGCTCCGTCTTACGTGCCCCTGTCCTCGTCGTCACGGAAAAGACCAATTCGTGGAAGAAAAACTCCGCGAGCGCGACCGGCCAACCCTGTTTTGTACTCGGACAGGGTCTTGTTCAGATCCTGCCATCGAGCCTTATCCGCGTCTAACGCGAGAGTCGCAGTTTTGGGAGAAATGGTGGACACGACATGGCATAGGCCGGCGTTTTTGGCGTCGCGACTCGGATAGAAGTCCATCTTCTCGTTCGGGGCTTCTAGAAATAGATGATCCTTAACCATGTCGCAAACACCCTGCGACAATGAAAATAGTTGTGCGGGGGGGGGACTCGGTGACGAGATATGTAGTGCATCCAACAACTGTGCCACAAGGTGAGCAGAACACACTATGCGAGGCCTCACCTTCCAAGCCTTCTCCGCTGGAAGGATGTCAAGGGCGGTTTGGAGCACTGGCGACTTGTCGTGATGCGCGTGCCATGCCACTTTCGCCGGCAACTCGTCCTCATCGCACGTGGATTCTTCGTCATCATCTGACTGGCGTTTCCGCTTCGAAGCTTCCCGGCCGAGCGAGGTTGCGGCACTTGTGGACGCCCGCTTGCGCTTACGCCCTTCGCCAAGGCGGATGATGGTCAGTACGTGTGACTCCAGACGAGCCAGTGTCTCCGCGGTATCATTCTGGGAATCACGCAACGCATCAAATTCCTCGCGTGTGACTTGGCCATCTGCTGCTTCTATCCGCTTCCTCGAATGTGGCGCTTTTGTGGTCTGCTCCTCCTCTGATCCGTTCTCGCCACACGGATCGTTGCTTGACGACTGACCACCACCGTTTCCCTCCTCGTCGTCCTCATCTTTGCCTTCCATTAACTCGTCTATCAGGCGTTCCTTCACGGCCTCTGTGTCCTCCTCCCCTTGTGGTGCGCTGGCGACAATGGGCGTGCAGGCTGCCTCCGCGTCGACGGCCCCGACAGCCTTGGCGCTGCATATCTGCAGCGGCACTTCTCGAGTCTCTATGACCAGGTGCGTGGTAGGTAGAAGTGTGTTGCGTGCGCATACGGCATATCTCACCACAGTCATGCATTAGCACTGGTACATGAAATACAACGTACTTGTCACGTCACAAATGTTACCTTCGTCATGCCCCGCGTTCTTATCCTCCGCGCCACATTTTTCTGTGCCTGTTTTACGCCTCTTGGGTTCTGGTAGGCGTCGTCCTTTCTTCTTCCGCTCCCCGTATTCATATGAATCAGCTAACCATGACGGCGCAGTCTTCGCCCGCTTGGAACGACCGCCGTCGGTGGGAGTCATATCGACCTCTAGCGGAGACAGCATCTCAGACCGCATACACAGCGGGGTCGAAATGGCGTAGCTCTAAACCACCCCGGGGTTCTACCCTCGCTGGCAACAGTCCCCTCACCACTCTCGTGGATATCGCAATGCTCGATACCGGAGTTTCTCACCGCACTAGTTGCCTCACGCTCTTGGCCACGCGCACAATTCTACACATGTCACGGTTAGAGTGGCCAGTTTGATTACAGACAAATGTCAGCCACACTTTCCACATGTAAAATGTCACCGTGCCACGATTGTCACATCGTCGATGCTCGTCCTCGTTTCTGTCAGATGCGATACTCCACTTATACACCCCCTTATTTCAGCATTTGCTACTAGCCCCAACTGTGGTTACAGTTTCTACATGTGCAAAGTTTAAGAGTTATTTGTCGTATATTTACATCTCCTCGATATAGACAGTTTAATACCGTGATACATGCGATGCTTACATTTCCAGATCCACCTACCTGCCACCAGCTCTAAGTCCTATCAGTATGAGTACAGAACTAGAACATCCCGTGGTCGAATGGCCACCATGTTCATGGCTTCAGGCAACACCCTCTGCACGGTTGACCTCCTCCCAGTCATCTTCTTCGTCGAAATCATCGTTTCCCGGTTTATACACAGCATCATCGTCAACGGACTCATCGTCATCCGTGTAGTCCTCTGGTGGGTCCTTTGGCTCTTCAGCCATAGGCTAGTCCTCTGTAGTCTGCGTGGTCGCCTCCACCTCCTCAACGTCACTAATGGCCCGGGACACTCTGCCCTTTTCGCCGCGAACGGGTCTCGACCAGCTGCGCATCGTCCAGGCCAGCCATTGCGGCTCTCCACTCCCTCCATCTGTTCCAGCGCCTGTAATTTACGAGTAGCCTTAGGATCTCCTCGGTGCAGCCGGCTAAAGCCTGCCTGTCACCGTCGGACAGCTCCACCGTGCAGCTGATGCGTGAGTTCGGGCGAAGTACAACGGCTCCCGCAGCATACGCGTATGACGCCTCGTCCTTGTCCTCGTACGACCCCAGACGAACCTGCTGGCGGCAAGCAGATATGATCCGGACGTAGTACCTCTGCTTCGCTGCGTTCCACATAGCTCCCGTTCGGCCGCTGCTTGCGACCCTTCCGGGGTTACCTGGAGCTGCGGGCACGGGAGTCTTAGCGCGGCTGCGCAAAGCCTCTGCAAGATGGTCGCGCTGTTGTTGCCTGACCACAGCAGGTGTTGCGTCGCCGGCAGTAACTTGGCTATCTTTCACGGCAGGTGTGTGAGGTGCAGGACAGGGAGAGATTGATGGCACTGCCGCCAGTGCACGCGTCGGAGGAGTCTGCGCGACCTCCTTCTGGCCAATTCCGTCCGCGGTAGGTTCTGCTTTGGCGTGCTTGCGTGGAGTCGCCGTCGGCACCAGCGTGTCGACCACGGCACCCTGGTGTTGGCGCGCCCCTGTGTCCAGCTCGTCCGTCGTCACGCCTTTGCGGATGGCCAGATACTCGATCTTGGCCGTCAGAACCTGTATGTCGTGCTCAATCACAGCGAACTTCTCCTTGTGGTCTAGCAGCTCTCTTCGGATGTCCACAGGAGGGTCGACGCATATGTATCCGTTGTCGTTGATAACGGGAACAGGCTGCAGAGGTATGCGGAGATCTTGGCGTTGTAGCTCGGGAATCAGCGTTCCCTCGGCATGAGAACAAAGATCCCCACGCATCTTGTGGCGGTACCTCTAAGCGCTCACGCCCTTGAACGATATGTACTTTCTCATGGTTATGAACCCAGATGTCACCAGAGCTTTGAGATACTGGCACATGTACACTCCACAGTCCCAGCTGTTAGGTTGTTTGGGGATCCGGTGACCCTGCGCACCATCGAGACACGATGTTTCCGTTCATCAGAACGCGCTCACGTATTAGCAAGCAAGTGGGATAGAATGAGCCATACTGTCTTTGCAGCATCTCACCTCCATGATTATCGTTTTGGCCTTGATGAGCGCTTGCCTAGACGCCTCCTGGTCCACCTCCGGATGATCGCGTTTGCACATGAGGTGCAATAACCTGCACGACGATATAGCCAACAGGTCAGATGAGGTTGCAGGACGTCACCGCTGAAAGGGGGTTGCACGGTGGTATATAGCGACTCTCACGCTTTAGTCCCGTTAAAGGCATCAATAGTCTTGGCGTGGAGGCCGTCACTGTCGAATAGAATGAACTCCACAGGTGCGGCCGTCTGGCTTACAATCCCGCTCGGGTTTGTTACCACCATCAAATAATAGTGTTCCCTGCACAATTGAGAGGTCTTTGTTAGGCTGGGGCGACAGACGGGCTTATAACAGCGGCAGGCAAAAGACGTACTTACCCGGCAAATACCGGGACGGCGATGTAATCGTACTCGAACACAGACGGGCCCGTGCACCTCCCAATCGCCTTCCCGTGAATCTTGGCATACGCATACGCCTTGCTGTCAAGGACCACCCATGATTTCCCGTTCGGACACCTTGGGCACCTGATGTTCAGGAGGCTGCACGGGTGCGAAGGGACCACGCACGATGAAAGTTTAAACGTTAAAGTTGGCATACCGTAGGGTGGCGACAAAGCAACCTGTAGGAGTATCGCCATCCAAAAACGTACATGTTATGGAAATCGGCGACCGCGTCCCCCATATATTTCTTGTCGGCGAGCGTCAAGGCGTCGTGCGCATTCACTTGACAGCCCACACCCATGTGGTTATACAGAGACACCGTCTTAAAAGTCGTTGAAGATGGTGCGTTGAGTAGAGCAGTCAGCGCGTCATTCGGCGCGGGCTCATCTTTGACGCATGGCAGCCGCGAGCCCCATGCGGAAACCGACGCGGCCACTGCGGCTTCCGTATTCGTATCCCCCTGCTGGAGTTCACGCGAGCGCAGCCGCTTGTTGCTCAGCGATTCCGGGATCGTGGTGTTATCCCGCCGCGCCGCTGCCGATGGCCTACGCGATGTCATGGGTTGTGGACTATGGAGGCCGCGTTTAGAGGCCTGGGCTTTGGTTCGTGGTACCATGGCTACTACGAGTTCGTGAGAGAGGCCGAAACCCTAGTGTGGCAAGAACTTAACTGTCGGGCTGTAATGCGATTGAAGCGTTCATACACTCCACCTGGCACCTTCGGGTACAAATATCGGATTTGCTTAGACGACGGAGACCCAAGGTCAGAGCGCAATTCTAGAATGTGGATACCACCATGGCGGTTTGTGATTGGCAGCGGGTTCCAGCCATATTTGACACTTGTGACAGTGCAATTGAGCCGAGATTACTGTACCCTTGTCAGCATGCACAGCCGAGACTATGCGGAACCTTTAGACACTCAATTGTGCAGCCCTTATCGGGACGACATATGTCCCGTTATGAACATAACCAAATGCGATTTAGAGCGATGTAACATTCCGGCCACTCACCTAGACGCGGATGGATTTATTTCGACTTCGTTTCAGTTACACCATTGAATTATTGTCGAACACTGAACGTACCGACGATGAGTGGAGCATCCAAAATAAATGATGTAGATTGATGTTTAGGGCGATGCGGCGTGAAATTTCCTAAATAGTAGAACTATACTAGCCAATGTAACAGTGTACCGACGTACGCATTCATGCGCACAATATCTCGAAACCCCAACTAACCCGGGCATATACTATACAGGGTACGGAAAGGTCACTAACAGATTAGCTTTCAGAGCACAAACATGTGGTTTCAAGCATGCACAACCGTGGTAGCCTATGAGGTGTACCCACGTCATTGCGCAATCAGTAGCTTCTCTGGCCAATCCACGCCTGTTAGGGCAAAGAGGGAGTGGCCAGCTGGCGCCGATGCTTTTCAGAAGCTAGACTCACTCATTGTCCATTAGCAGCTACATTGGACGCTGTACCCACCAAACCTACCGGCTATATCATATGCCGCCATTTGTAGCAGACGCCACTTTACTTCCATGGCCGCTCTAAAGGATCTCTTGTCGCGCCTTGGCGCTCTGAGGAAATAGAAACGAGAATGAATGAACTATGAATGAAGTGGGTACAAGTACTAACCCTAATTGGGTTGTACCCCCTATGGGATACCCCACTACAGCCTACACAAAAGTATAAGCTATAATGTTCTGACACACCCCCATAGGCAAAGTGGGGGAGAACAAAGGGGTCACAAGACCGGTCAAGCAAAGTAAAGCAAAGCAAGCTCAGGGTGGATCACAACGTCACCACACATTCTGAGCACAAGTTCAAGGCCACAAGGCCAGTTCACATGCAGGAGTACACATATATATAAAGCTAGACAAGTAAGAGCAGGAATATATATATGTAACAGTACAAGCAAGGTCAAGGGGTGAGCAAGTGAGGCAAGACAGGGACAAGGCCCAGCTGAGTGCAGAAGCGCTGATGATCACAAGGCGGAAGTGCCTTGGTGAAAACATCAGCAGTGTTGGCCTCAAACGCCACGTACGCAAGCCGCAAGTGACCACGCTGCTGTAGCTCACGAGCAAGGAAGTAGCGGAGAGCAATGTGCTTTGTTCTGTGCTCCAGTCTCTGCTCTCGAAACAAGGCCAGCATGGCCTTGTTGTCTACGTATAGGACTGGAGGAGAACAAGGCGGCTCTCCAAGGTCGGTCAGCAGGTAGGTGAGCCAGCGAAGCTCCTGAGCAGCCATGGCCCCGGCGTAGATCTCAGCCTCACAACTGGAGCCGAGAACAGAAGACGAGCGAGTAGGCCGCCACGAAACAGAGCCGGAACCAAGGCTGAAAGTGTAACCCTGTGACGACCGTTGCGTAGCCTGGTCGTCAGCCCAAGAAGCGTCCGCGTGCCCAGTGAGGACCACTGGACTACGCCCTCCAAGCACTAGCCCCATGCCCGACGTACTGCACAAGTAGCGCAACACCCTTTTCGCTGCAGCCATGTGCTCCGGTCGGTGTCTCCCAGGAGCAACATAGCGTGCAAGAATGCTAAGAGGGTATGCAAGGTCAGGTCGTGTGCAGGTCATCACGTACATGAGGCAGCCAACAAGCTCTAGATACGGGCCACTCGACTCTACGGACTCATCCGAAGGCAGAGCTGAGAGTGAGTGGCGAGTAGGCAGAGGAGTGGCCTGAGGCGAGGAGTACGTGAAGCCGAAGCGCTGAAGGACCTGCTGCACCATGTGTGACTGAGTCAGGGTAATGGTGCGGCGTGCTCTGTCCCGGGTGATCTGCAAGCCAAGGTAGCTGCGCAGTTCACCCAGGTCAGTGCACGTGTGTCTCGTCTGCAACTCGGACTTCACGTAGGCGAGTCCAGCAGTGTCAGTTGTGGCAAAGACCAAGTCGTCGACGTACACGAGGATGTAGAACGGCGGCAGAGAGGTGTCGGTGTGCAGAAACAGCGACGGGTCGGCAGTAGAAGGAGCAAACCCAAGAGCCGCAAGCGTAGTCCTCAGTGTGTCGTGCCACTCACAGGGCGCTTGGCGGAGACCGTAGACTAGACGTCGGAGACTCCACTGGGTACCAGGAGGAAAAGACCCAGTGAAGCCAGGTGGGCGGCGCAGCCAGATCTCCTCGTGTAGGCTGCCCTGCAAGAAAGCTGTGCTGAAGTCAAGAGAGTGCAGCTCGTAGTCACGGTGAGCAGCAACGTGCAGCAGTACCCGAAGAGTGGTCATCTTCGGGGTGGGGGAGAAGGTCTGAAAGTAGTCAACTCCCTGCCGCTGACAAAAGCCACGAGCCACGTAACGCGCCTTGAAGACAGGCGGAGAACCCGGCGGCCGCTTCACCCTGAAGATCCACATGCCACTGACGATGTTCGCCCCAGGAGGGGGAACAGCGTCAACGTAGGTGCCTGTGGACTTCCAGGAAGCCATCTTTGCATCCATAGCTGCCTGCCACTGAGAGGAGTAGGGACCCTCTATCGCCTCCGCGTAAGAGCGCGGAATCGGGATGTCAAGTGCATCCGGGTCTCCCTCAGGGGTAAGCAGTACGGACACGAGATGAGGTGAAGCAGCTGCCAGACATTGGAACTCCTCCTGCTTGTCCTCAAGGACGTCTGTGCCAAGGGCACACTCACCCCCGACGGACGGAGGACAGACAGACTCAGACTCAGCGACAAGACTAGCAGCGTAGGCTAGGCGATAGCGAGCAGCAAAGTCGACGAGCTCTGCAACTAGGGCAGACGCAGCAGTGGACTCGAAAGAAGGGTCAGTGACGACAGTAGCAAGGAGACGCATGACAGTAGGACTGGCAGCACGAAGAGAGTCCGACTCCGGGTCGGCAAGAGCAGGAAGAGAGGACTCAGGAGGAGAAGGCAAAGGGGCATGCAGAGGAGCACTAGACGGATGCAGAGACATCCTGTGCGTGCCAGGGACAGAAGGAGGACGCGGACGCGAACCACGACCACTAGCGCGAGCACGACGGACAGGCAACGTAGGGCGAGACGCAGGCTCACGACGCTCAGCAAGACCTCCAGTAGGACCAGCGTAGGGAGAAGGAGCAGGCAAAGGGGAGGTAGGCTGCAACTGTCACTGTGACGGGACAGGCTCTGGACACTCTAAGGGAGGAGGAGGACCAGTAGAAGGTGGAAGACCAAGAACCTGCTACAGGAGCGGAACGAAGTACAGTCGAGGCCGCATGGCGACGCCAAAAGCAGCAGGGACAGCACCAGTACCCCCAGCAGGAGCACTCGCTCTATTAGCACCCCCAGCAGCGCCAGGAGTACCCGCAGCAGGACCGCCAGCAGTAGTCTCAGCTCCAACACCCTTAGTAGCACCAGCTCCAGTCGCACCCGCAGGCCCAGCAGCTCCAGTACTCCCAGTACGAGCACCTCCGGGACCCGCAACAGCAGTACCCTCAGTAGCCGAAGAACCTCCAGCACCAGCAGCACGCCTCCAGCGCCGGGCAAACCACTCGCGCAGCTCCTGTGGAGAGAGTGGCTCCCGCAGAGACGAAGCACCCGGAGAACCTCCAGGCGGAGCACCTCCCGGCTCAGCACCCACAAGCGTAGCACCCCCAGACTCAGCACCCCCAGGCTCAGCACCCCCAGGCTCAGCACCCCCAGGCTCAGCACCCCCAGGCTCAGCACCCCCAGGCTCAGCACCCCCAGGCGTAGCACCCCCAGACTCAGCACCTCCAGGCCCAGTACCCCTAGGCTCAGCACCTCCAGCAGCACCAGAGTCACCAGTGACCTCGACAGGCTCGACTGCATCTACCTGGGACACACCTGAAGGGGCAGGACCCTGAGGGGGGAGGGGGTCGACCTGGGGGGGACCTGGTACAAGGAAGAGCGGGGGCGGGGGGAGGGACGGAGTGCGGTAGGGGAAGAGGCGGTAGTGGGGGACCGACTCGTCGAACGTGACGTCCTGGGAGGACAGAACACGGCGAGAGGTGGGGTGGTAGAACTGCCACCCAGGCGCGTCAGGGGGGAACCCCAGGAAGACGCAAGGAGCAGCACGAGGGGACAGCTTGTCCGCAGACAAGTCGCGGACAAACGCCCGAGATCCCCAGACCCGGAACGCCGACGCATCGCCAACCTTCCCCGTCCACAGCAAAGCTGGGGAGGTCTCCGGCATGAAAACCTCAGACTGAAGGTTGATCTGATGCGCCGCGTACCTCACCGCAAACGGCCACAGAAAATGGGGGGCAGCCGTATGCATCATAGACGTACGGGCGACGTCCATGATCATGCCAATGCGGCGCTCAGCAATCCCATTTTGCTGCGAAGAGTCCGGAAGCGTGAAGGTCTGACGCATGCCTCGTGCACGACAGTAGGCTCGCAGAAGGCCAGAGGAGAACTCTCCGCCTCTGTTAGAGTGCAGACGCAGAATAAGAAAGTCCGAGCCAAAGCTCTGCCTGAGCTGAAGACGAGCTGCGCGGATCCAGTCAATCAGCACCTCAGTGACATCACCCTTGCTGCGCAAGGGGAAGACTGCGGTGTAACGCGAGTAGTCGTCAACAACGAGCAGGAAGTAGCGCTCGTGACCCTGTCCACGGACGTGGGCTGGGC